AAAAGCAGATTGACATGTTTCAGACCACTTGAATTTTTGATTTTTTGTCAAAAGGTTTATTAATGGTACAGTGATGTCAGCAAAATTTTTACAAAACTTCCTGTAATAACAAGCCATTCCCAAAAATCTCATCAAACTTTTCTTGTTGGTAGGAGTTGGATAATTCACAATACAATCAACTTTGGCTTGAATTGGAGAAACTTGATCATGACCAAAGTAAATAACTCTGGCTTTACAGAAGTCACTTTTTGCCAAATTTATAGTGAGATTGGCTTTCTTAAGCCTCTCAAAAACATCACATAATACACATAAATGTTCTTCCCATGTGTCACTGGAAATCACAATATCATCAACATAAATTCCAACATCTGACAGATTGTTGAGGCATTGATTCATCATTCGCTGAAAAGTTACTTGAGAATTTTTCATCCCAAAAGGCATTAAATTGTACTGGCTCTATAATGCCATTTTCCAGCATGTAAGATATTTCTGTACGCATTTTATCCCCCTTGATTGGATTCACATGATAGGGATGTTGTTTCACAAGAGAAGTGTCACCTATATTTACATCATGAACAGTGATGTTGGTTTGATTGGGAACGTCTGGAAATATACATTTGTAATTAGTCAATAAACTAGCAAGTTGATTTTTCTCTTCAGGAGGCAAGTGATAGAGTCTTAAATCAAGATTGGCCAGAATGTCAGAATTACTCAGTTTGATGTTGCATTCGTCTCCAGTATTTTCAAATTTACGGGTGTTTGAGTCAAAGCAACTGTCATTAGTATCAGGAGAACACTCAAGGGTTAAAATATTTTTGGATGCATCTTGTATGTGATAGGGCTTCAGCATATTAATATGATACAGCTGGGTAGCCTTTCGACAATCAGGTGTTTTTATAACATAGTCTGTATCATTAACTTTCCGAACAACCTTGATGCCTAGCTTTGAGTGGATGTCCCATAGTGGGTAACAATACCAAGACCATGTAACCAGGATGGAACTTGTGCTCATCAGCCTTATGGTCATAAACATTTTTCATTTTAATTTGGAATGACTTCAAATTTTCTCGAGCCAATTCATAAGCACATAAGACTCTGGACTGAAACTTGGAAACGTAATCCAATAAGTGCATTTCTTTTGTATCATCTTCCAACCATTGTTCCTTCAGCATCTTCAAAGGGCCATGCACTGAATGGCCAAACACCAACTCAAATGACTCCTGAACTGACTCACGAACAGCAAATATAAATAGATTAACTCCTTCATCCCAATCCTTCTTGTTATTGAAACATTAAGTCCATATCATATTTTTCAAGGTAGAATGGAATCTCTCAAGAGCACCTTGCGAATCTGGATGATACTCACTAGATTTGATCTGTTTAGCACCGAGCTGATAAACAACTTGTTAAAACAACCCTGACATAAAATTGATCCTTGCTCAGATTGAATTTCTTTGGGTAAGCCAACAAAAGTAAAGAAATTGATCAAAGCCTTAGAAATGTTTTGGGCTGAAATGTTTCTCAAAGGGATAACTTCAGGGAATCGAGTGGATGTGCATATGATAGTTAACAAATACTGATTCCTCGATCGAGTTTTTGGTGAAGGCCCAACACAATCGCACAATTGAAGGGTTCTTCAAATGCTGAGATAGGTTTCAGAGGAGCAACAGGAATTTTCTGGTTAGGTTTTTCAACCAACTGAAATGTATGACAAGTTTTGCAAAACTGAGAAATGTCTTGCCTAATTTTTGGCCAAAAGAAATGTCTCATAATTTTGTCACATGTTTTGTTGACACCCAAATGACCTCCCTAGGGGAGTTCATGGGCAACTTTTAATATTTCAGAAGAATATGCTTTGGGAACAACAATTTGATAAACAATGGCCCAGTCCTCTGAAGCTGACACATCTGGTGGTCTCCATTTTCTCCTAAGGACACCATTTTTGACAAAATAACCATTTGGAACTTTCTCCAGCTCATCTTTTGGGAGTGCAAATTTAAATAGTGAATAGATCTGCGAATCCTTTTGTTGCTCTGCAATCAGTTTACTTTTAATAAATGGAACTTCACAAGGTGAATCAGATCCCTCATGTCCATAATTGTCACACACCGAGGTATTGTCAGTAGGACAATCATCCATTCTTACTCTCGAGAATCTTCTACAAGTTTGGAGAATAGGCGGTAGTTTTACAATACATACTTAACAGCATAAGCTATGTATGTTTTTAAATATACATTTAATCTAAACAAACATCAATGTTAAAATAAATGTATAATGATAAATCGTTCACAGGCATAATTTCAAATGATTGTGTTTGATGACAGTTGTTCACACCCCTCTCCAGTGTCACCCTACTTAAATCCCACCCCATTTCTTCTAGTGGAATATGGGAAAAACCTTGCTTCTCCAGTCCTGTATCACTGTGAAGTTGATATAAAAAATTCCTCATTAGGCAGTACAGTCCCACTAGTATGAGACCAAGTGGACACATCCCTCATTTGGGAAGTAGGGCTGGAGAGTTGCCTGATAGTTATGAACCAAGTCATTCCCATTGGTTATGTCTAATCGGATGGGTTTTGGGTTTGCCTGCACCAGGTTTTTGTGGAGAGTATCTCAATATGGAATGGCCTCACTTATAGCTCTACACCACATACTCATGCTCAGCTGTCTGCCTGTGCTATGATGGACGGTGTAACAATATGCCATTCTGCCAACCTTAGTGACCCATAAGCACCCAGCAGTAGATATTTATGACAATATCTCTTGCTCTACCACCTCTGTTGGGCAAAGAGTATTCCCTGCTTGATATGGATGTGGCCTCCCACTGAGTGCTGCCCCATTAGGCTACCCTCCACTTAGTGGATATCACTCTTAACAGCTTTCCCATTTGATGCTCAGAAAAGGGCTCATCTTTGTAATTTTTCTATACTGGCCCCTCCACCATCTTCAGTGTAGGATTATAACTGTTTGTGGTGCGGAGAGGTGAGTAGTACTTTTGAACTTGAAGTTAACAATTTCCTTATCTGAAAATGTATTTCAGATAAATTCTTACCTCTGCATCATTTCCCACCCAGTGCATTTAGTTTTTCTTGTCAAGAATGAGCCTGTGTTCACTTGCTAGTGCTTATGAGGATTACTGTGCAGTAAAGAATGTGTCGACTTCGTGTTAGTAAAGGGGTACAATCTAGTGATGATTACATCATGGGCTGGTACACGTGTAGGAGTGAGAGCTTTGTTCAAGACTTGTGGCATGCACAGGATTTTACACGTCAATGCACGCCGGGTGGTGGTGCTCCATGGTGAGGTAAAGAAAATATAAGTTCAATTTCTGCATTTTAAGATCATTGGTTACATTAATATGGAACGGACTTGAGGATTAAAAACCTGTTTACAAAACATCTGAAACAAAATAATGATCAGAATCGGAAATGGTTGGCTTTTATTTCACTTGTAACTAAAAAACAAACTTATATTGTTATAGCACCATACCGGTTCAGAAAGATAACATGAGATACGAATAAAGGAGCTTCAGTTCAAAAATATTGTATAACGTGAATTATTTGTACAGCTTTTCAGTATATGTAATTAATTTGAAGTGTTTAGAAGATAAGATCTTAAAATTGTTAAATTATTACAAATATGGATTTAGAAATGATTATAAAATATTAAGTATAGTACACTTTGGGAGATGAAAGAAGCATTTTGAAAACTCTGCAAATAAATGTTAACAAGGTAAAATGTTTGTGAATTGTTAACCCAAGTTCTTTAAGAGAATCGTCGCTATAGTTATAGCACAAAATAAGAATGAAGTGTTTCCTTGTTTCTAATAAATATTCATCAGATTTTTAGTGAAGTTTTTATAAATTATATTTATTATCAAAAGCCTAATTATATTCTTTCAATTTGCACTTTACCAGGGTTATTGATGAGGGGTGGAATTTTCTGAAACCGATATTACTTGGTAACGATAAATGGATTGATAGGATTAGGCTTCATATTGATTTATTAGTAGTTTTCAGTTTCGGTAACTGTATGTGAAAGCTGTTTATGGTAATAAAAATTTATTGTATACAACTTTTTTGTTTTTCTAGTATGAATTGTATCCATGTGCTGGAATTGTTATTATCACATTAAAACTTTTATTTAAACATCATATTTACTTTGTTAGATACTCATAATGTTAATATATCAAAATATTCTTAGTATCCTAATTTTTACTTCATATCTAAACTTTGTCATATAATTCATCTTTCTAAATTGTTTTGATTTTACTTTTCTTACCAGTTGTCATAGAAACTATGGAAGCTAAGTTACAAGCTACACTTGCAGCACAACAAGCAGCAGGAACGTCTTGAGATACTTGTTTTATTCGTTAAGGGTAGTATGTAATATTAACATTACTGTATTTTTACTCAATTTATCCTGTTTTTTTTCTTTCCACACTGTTTGTGAATTATATAATTTAATGTAGTTGCTTCCTAACAACGTATAAAATAAATTTGTTAATCCTAAAAACAGGTGTGTTAAATTTTATATAATGCTCTCCATATTTCCATGCCAGATCCCATGATAATAATGAAATTAATGTACTTCAAAAAATAGTAAAAAAAAACAGTATTATAAATTCAACAGCCTTAAAACTAGTATAACTCTAGCTTTTCACGTAAACTTCCTGTAATCAGTTGCAGTATAATTTTCGTAATTGAATAACCAAAACATCTAGGATTATACTGATGTGTATCTGTGACTATTTAGGAGGTGTTTTAATTTTCATCAACTTGCAGTTTGATCACGGAAAAACATTTCTTTTAACTATGGGAGCACATGCGTAATTCTGACCTCATCACTAGTAAGAGAATCGCCATTTCTGCTCAGTAGGCAATGGTTTTCAATACAAATCACTGTAAGTTGTAATGTTACATTAATAATTTTCATTTTAGTATTATTTCAGGATGCACGTGAGTGATAATTTTGGTGATGAACTGCCATTCAGTAATGAAAGTTGCTCTGAAAGGGGAATTTTTTTCTGCTGCTAGACCCATAGGGGCTGGAGATGGAAGGGGCAAGTTTTTTTAATGAAACCATTAACAACGTATTCTTGAAAATTGATTAACTAAGCATTCCCGTCTGCAGTGGCGTAGCAAGGGTTCTCAACACCCGGGGGCAAAGACACTTTTGGTGCCCCGCCTCTCATATGTTTTGATTATTTTTGTGACTCATTACCCACTTGATGACAATAACATAAAGAATTAATTACCGCCTTACACAGGCCTAGAATAAAGTTACAATATAACATCGCACGATATCACAACTGTAAACCTGGAACTAATGAAGTATAGCCTACTAGGTGTACATACATAATTTGTAAACCATTCTGATATTTATGTCATCCAGTATTGTTCAAAGTCACATAGCTAGAGTAATCTTTCAAGCATGCAGAATAAATTTCTGTTATATCCCTAGTTTTTTTCTATGAGAAGCCAGTCATTTGTGGTGTACATGGATTATAAAACAGATTGATAAAATACTACTGAAGTTTATAAATAACAAATTTTATTACTTTACAAAACTGTACATATACTTAACTAGATCTTGTACAGGAAGCATTCTGGTATTCATGGTTACATTATGTGAACCTTTCATGCTTTTGCTGCTGCAAATGCATCAATTAAATTATCAAGATTTAAGGTAGTAAGTACGTCTTTTTCAATACTTAATATTGCCATGTTACTAAGTCGTTCCTGAGTCACTGAGGTTCTTAAGTATGTAAAAATTAATTCCAGCTTGCTGAAGGACCTTTCACAACTAGCAATAGTAATCCCAATTGTTAACAAAATCTGCAATGC